TCATTAATCCACTCTCAATCTCCACACTGCTCACCTTCACTACTTACTTCACCACTCCCTATGTCGTTTTGGCACGTAGCCTAATATATGTCGAGTCAGTTTAATCATGCTGGTTCGCGAATTCATTCAAATTCATCCCGCCCTACAACTTCAATCCAAATTTCTTAAAATCCATGGTGGAAAGAAAATCGGACAAAAATTACGGAATTTGTAATCTTGTTGCTCATTGCCTTCTTGGTATTTAGTTTAAAGCAGCTGTCATGTATTATATATGCCATGTGTTTGTTATGTTTATTTTGTTGTTGTAAATAAACATTTTTTTATCAGAATTTATTTTACAATCTGTTCATAAGAATGTGAGAACAATAAGTAAAACATTTAACAAAAAACAATGGCAGGAAGCAAGCACCTGTTTATCAACAAATCTCGCCTAATGTCGTTCAGATGGTTTTTTGTTTCCCTTAAATGTGAATAATGCAAATCCTTCAGTGAAAGTTTTATTAAGGTTTCTTGGATGTAGTCATATTATTTAAAATCACTTGACTTTTATGAAAACATATATTTAATGTCCTTGCCGTACCAGTTTAATTTGGCCTTAGAGTGTTCTCCTTTGCCAATCATCATAAAGTTAAGTCCGTGCTTCCTACAAAATAGCAACACTTCGGCTAACATCCTTGTTAATTGTTTGTGGGAATCTTCATATTTTAGGTGTTCTTCATTATGATGATAACGATAGTAAATGTTTTTTTATCTCTATTTCTTCTACTTGGTGGCGTTCTATGACTTTTCTATGTTTCCATGGTTAAAAAATCGGTTCTTTCAATGATTGCTCAAGAAATACAGTACCCTGTCAATTCATTTTTCTTATTTGGTAAAACATAATATGAAATTGCTCAGGTTTTCTCGATTTTTTTCATCGTATAATACACGAATGTAAATTAAAGTAGTAAATATTTAATTTCAACAAAATCAGTAAATGTACCCAATTATAATAAATAACAGCAATTAAATTATACTGCTGATCAAAATGTAAACAATTATGTTCCCCATAAGGATAACATGGGAACTTTCAAAGCCACTGGGGCAGAGCCCAAGGGACTTTAAAAAAATGTAAGGCCAGTTTGCAAATCTACGCGACACGCTCTTTCCAATGAGACGTCAATGGATAAAATTGGTTAAGAAATTGCGGAGGAGTTCAACTGACAAACTTCGTGTTCTCGTATTAATTATATAGATATATACAAGAGGTTGTCCAGTGGTTGAAACTCGACCAAAAATATGTAGGCCTATACAGTTGGATTTTTTTAGCTGGAAACGGTTGAGGTATGTTGGAATATCTTTGAGGATGAAGCTTTTTGGCTGTAGCAAGGCCACACTTTTTGGTTTGGCCTTGGCTGTAGTGAGTGAGTGAGTGTGGTCATGTGTTCATACCGTTCATACATGTCAATCTTTGAGGTTAAATCAAAACAAGACTGGCATGTTGTCAATTAGGGGGTGTGTTGTTTTAATTTACGAAAGAATGCTCATTTAAGATCAAATAAATTAATTTAGTGTCATTGTCTGATTTATTAAAACACATTCAGTATTAATGCTACTGCATTTTATAAACCAATCTCGAATCTTGCTACCTTGGCCTATCGTATAACGTTTTCCTGTTTGGTACCTGGTAAAACTTGTCAGATTGCATAAGTGAATTATTAGCAATACAATTTAGCTGTTGATTATAATTTAAATGGGTCAAAAGTCAAAACGTCATGCACATATTTCTACATGAATGTTGTAAAATGTTTGATCCATAGTTGCTGTACACTAATATTAATTTAACAAAATATGGACAACGTGCCCTCCTGCACTTGTATTATTTTGTAATGTATTACACAATCAAAGACTTTTCGAATGATTGAAAACATCTATGACAATAATCTCATGAACCTATGATGATCTGTCTAGAATAATATGATAAAATATAAATATAGGCAAAAGTGGTAATAAAGGCAGGCACCAATAGATATAAGATAGTTCAATAAGAAATGTTTGTAAGAGTTACTATAAAATGATTGTCAACTGATTTCGTAATGGAACGTTATATTGCAAAACATGGCATGATACAGAAGAAAATCAATTGTAAAATCAGTAAATAACATTGCAAATACTTCTTTTCGACAATTCAACTCCCAATAAACGTGTGTTGTTTAAAATACAATTTAAGAATTAACAGCTGTTTAATTCAAAAGTATTAACCACATGATCAAAATGTAAACAAATCTGTGGAGGGATCTTTTAAGGCTTCTGGGGCAGAGTCCTAAGGGATTTTGCTTAGTTTTTTTTTTGATAACTCATCTAGAGACCAAGACCTTTCTTTAGGCACCTCTACCAAGTTTCTACGTCCAGCCGTTCTCTCAAATTAGTGGAGACAAAGTTTCCAATTAAATATTTAGATTCTCCCATGTTAGTCTTATGGGAGAAAACCCAACTTTGATGGATGATCCTGACCAAACTAATAAAGATTTCAAAAAATGAAACACTTTCCAAAACTACAGATCAGGGCCATTATTTTGACTTTTTAACCATTAAAATCGGCCCAAAAATGAGGGAGGAGTTCTGTTTACAAAAATCGGCTTAGCGTATTACATATACAGAGTGAGTTTTAAATGAGTTCCCCCCCTACTTTTTTCTACATTTCTTAAGATATCAACTCCGGACCACGTCAGATCATTGTAGAGTAGTAAGTACTTCATTTTGACTGGGTATAAAATTTTGGCCGCCATCTTGGATCTGCCATATTGGATACAAAGTTTTTTTTTCAAATGCAAAGATAGGGTTGTGACCCATCGTTTCAAACTAGATTTTTAAGCTGAATATGATGCTGCAATCCGTTTTTAAAATCTTGATCCATTCAAAAGTTATGAGAACATTTTATAACTTATTTTTAGCCCATTTTAACATTGTGCAGTTACAAACTCAGACTATAATCGTAAAATAGAGCTAGATAAAGATAAGTATACACCACCAGTCATTGTCAACCTATTTTCTTTTGGTCATGATCACTTGGATACGATTATGGTCTTAGTTTGTAACTGCACAATGTTAAAATTGGCTAAAAATAAAGTTTTAAATAGTACCCATAACTTTAGAACGGATCAAGATTTTTAAAAACGGATTGAAGCATCATATTTAGCGTAAAAATCTAGTTTGAAACGGTGGGTCACAACCCTATCTTTGCATTTGAAAAAAAAACTTTGTATCCAATATGGCAGATCCAAGATGGCGGCCAAACATTTATACCCAGTCAAAATGAAGTACTTACTACTCTACAATGATCTGATGTGGTCCGGAGTTGATATCTTAAGAAATGTAGAAAAAAGTAGGGGGGGGGGGGGCTCATTTAAAACTCACCCTGTATAGATTATTTGCTCATGTTAAATTAATTAATTTAAAAGACACCATCACTTAATTTGAAGACAATAATCAAATAACAATTTATTCATGAATTGATTTGGAATTAGGAATCACGTCTTTATTTCACAGTAAATATTCTTGAATGACCAAGTCATTTTATTAGAGTAAGTATATTTAACTATTGTCAATTAAAAGAATATATTATGCCAGTTTGTTGTTTGTTGTTTGATTTGATTTGACCTAATAATTTGACACCCCACACTGTAAATAAAACATGTGATTGGAATGTCTTACATTTGTTTTGATTTTCTATTTATAATTCGGTGTTATTTCGTCACCATCATGGCAACCCATAAAGCCCATGTTAATTTTTTTTTAAATTTCAAATTCATTTTTGTGATGATTTTTTAGCCTATTTTAATTTTTAAAGGGATTCTGCACATCTACAAGAAAATATCTTTCTAACAGTGTTAGTAGATTTTTCCTGCGATGCACGCGAGCTGAGAAAAAGGTTTTAAAGAAAAATGTTTGCCTATTAATATATAGATAGATAGATAGATAAGAAAGAATGCACTGACTATTGTCCAGCAGATTACCAACAGTAAATAAACATCACTATGGACTTTAGAAACCATACTGTTTAGTCATTTTATTCCTAATTATTATGAAGGAAAATCAATTATAAACAAGTATCGCCTCCAAGGATGTATATATATACTGTATGTATATAAATCTATATAATTAAATAGTCTCTACATTTACATATATAAAAAAAAAACTTTAACAAAAATAGTGTTTTTTTTCTTTTAGGGACATAAAAATGAAAAAGTATATCGGTCCCGGGTCTAGGCCTGTGCCACCTACAGTAATAACTACTTCCCTATAGGGAAATTCACTAACAAGGAAACCACAACCGTTTACCTCGGTACTGTAGCTGTATTTAGGTAATATTTAAACAAAATTGGGTCAGAAGTTTTCACGTTCACTATGTACAAACACACACGCACACACACAGACCACCTCTCCTTTATAACAAAATTGTAGATAGATAAAAGATAGTTTTTTAAATTACGGTACATTTTAAATATTTATTTACTAAGAAACATTCTTTTGTAGAATAATAAATAGACAGAGTCTATAAATACCCTGTAGTAAATAATTATTAAATACCCTCTCCGCAGAAAACCTGCAGACAAAGCGAATTTCCATTTGCCTGATTGGATTTCACTAAAATGTACTTGATAATGTCAAATTTATTCCCTAACATTAGTTTGGCGAGTACTTAAGTTTGTCACTACAGGGAATGTAGTTCAATGTTTTTGTAGTGAAATGTTAATATAGTTTACTATGAAATAAATTACTTTTCCGAATTTGATCAACATTTATCCATAAAAATAAATACAAAATACCAATAAATACAAATAACAGTTAACGTTTTAACCTTAAGAATAACATTTTAATTTGAAATGTAGGCCCTACTGTTTTTGGAATGTTTCCCGTCACCTTTCATCCTACAACGACGCTTCAATATATTAAATTTGTTGTGTTTTTAAGGTCTACACGATGATTGAAATAAAAACTAAGCATTTCTATGTTTTTAGGATAAACATTTGAAAGTTTTTTTTGCAAAATTTGAAAACCCCATCCGTTTCCACGAAGGGTCTTTATGTCCCATGAAGAGACAACGTCATCCGTACGATTGAGCTTTGTTTCTATGATCTCTGGTAAGTGTGATGTAACTGTTTCTTATAGTAGATTGTTAAAAACCGAATTATTCTCACCCCGTAGCGAAGCACGGACAGAGCAACTAGTTATACATAAATGAGAACTTGAACAATTTTGTGTACCATTATGTCACTAAGCACCATTGGCATACTCTTATATTTTTAAATTTCTGGTACTGGGCGACCCTTGCTTGATTGTGGGTAATTGGGTAAAAAATATCGTAGTTAGAAATTTTTATAATTTACGATAAACATTTTTATTACAAACCATAGACATTTTCCTACAGTTACCTAACAATGTACATGTTCTCTCACTGATTTGAGAAAGCAAAGTGGCCAATTCGCTCATCAGTGAGACAATGTTAACATTGTCTCACTCTAATTACTTTGTCTCACTCCAGATTTGCAACGTGAAGGCACGAAATAGTGAGCGCGTAACATGCAGGCAACGTCGTATGCGCGCGAAATACGTTGGCAGCACTGGCTGTAAATCAGCTGGTCAGCTTTTGTACTGTTGTATTTGTCACTTCACATTAAATGTTACGTTAAAAGTTCACTTCTGTGTAAAAATAGGTTATGTTTCTTCACCAATTTGTTTGTTTTATGGTAACTGTAGGAAAAGTATAATGTGCAACTCGAGTTCAAAGTACAATTGCCTCACTCGAGAAACCATTCCTCACTCGCGTAAGTAAGGATTTCTCTCGAGTGAGTCAATTGCTCACTTTTCTCACTAGTTGCACAAATAACTATTTTTGTTCAAATGTTTATTGCGGACATTTTCCATCACGAATGTAAAAAACAATACACAACGTTTCGGGATCTGGAATCTGATCCCGTCCTCAGGCGAAAAAAACTTAACTAACACATTACAACTAACAATACACAAACACCCAACCTAAGTTGGAATACACTACAGAGGGTAGTGTAATACTACCCTCTGTAGTATATAAGAAACATAATTATTATAAATTTCTCCCCTCTAGTCATTGTAACCCGTTGTTTGACTTTTACGCTCACTAAAGATAGTAGATACAAAATGATATATATACAAAAAATATTAGTTTCAAAATCACTTCTGGCAACGATTTTTCACTTTATCGCTACTACCTCTAAAGAAATTAAGATTCTGTCTGTTTTTTTCATTGGGATTTAGCATACGGTAACAGTTTTATGCCAATCAAAACCCCCAAACGTAATTGGTTTACTTGGAATCAATGCCTCAGTACTTCAGGAATTAAGTTTTGGTGGGAGAGGGCCAGATCAGAACTATTTTCCCCTATCGAGTAATCTTCAGTGTAATCTTTGCTCAATTACAAATTATGTTCTCCCTTCGTCCTGTATTTTGTAATTTTCTAGTATACTGTGGATGGATTTTTTATAAACACAATATGTTACAAGTATTTTGTTTACTTTTCTTTTTAATTTTGTTTTTTACCAACATAGTTATTTAGCATAGTTGTGTAGCTAAATACGAATTTTCCCGAGGCAGTGGCTGTTTGTAGCCAATCAAGTTTTAGGGCCATAAGTCCCTAATTCTAAAATTTTGTCAAAAGCCTTCCGCTTGATTTTGAGATATACATTACATACAAACAGACATAGCTCGCATTATAATAATATTATGGAATAGGATAGGATTTACTGTACACAATTACAACTGTCTTTGTCAACTGTACAAATATAAAAATAAGTAATTTCTACTTTTAGGGGTTTTTAAAGAACCATGTGTGTGAATATCATACATTACCTGGATTTCCTGATACAAAAGAACAGTCTTGGATGCAAAGTTTGCGACAGCCGCAGTTGTTTTAAGTTATTTATCGCTAATATGCTTGATATTCAGATAATTTTATTTAGAATCAGTACCTATATCAATATTTCAAACACATAATAGGCCCATCAATATATTGCAATTATTCTCCGAACAGATTCAATAATTTGTTTCAAACAAATAATATATATACTGCTTGTGTATTTTTTTTATTTAATACGGTGCACGAATAAAAAAATGTAGCCTATTTTTTATAGAGACTAAACAATGTTTTGTCACGTAACTTACCCAATTTTTAAATACATTTTTAAGTGCTGTAGTTTTTGTAGCAAGAGCTGATTTTCGAAACTTGTGGCAAAATTCCAGGAGTTCTTGTTTGTGGGATTAAACTTTGCTTCTTACTTTGTCTTGAAACCCTCAGGTATTTTTTGTTTGACAGAGAGTTTAAAAAAATATAATCGGTTTATAAATTCTATTTTATCTCTCTTCTCATATTTATAATTGTTTATCATTGCACTTTTTTGGGAAAATGCATCACCATATATTCCTGGGGAAAATATAATGTCATCAATTTATTTGTATTAACATTTGTTACGGTGGGTAGGAAAGAAAACGAGGGAGGTTTGACGATCGTATTTGTATGATATTGTATCATATTCGTATCCAGGATTGTAGCATTGTCAGAGTGGGGTGTGGGCGGTGAGGACGCTCAGCGCCGCGACGTCAGTCAGTCAGTAGCGCCGACGTCGACGCCGCGAGATGACATTCCCTCTATCCTCAGCCACAGGTATAATCTAGTGTCCTTCCCGACAACCCAATGATTTTTATTTATAGGGGCGTGATAATCAAATTAACTGAGTAACAACCTAATTCAGTAACAACTTTTATATAGTTTTATAGTTATAAGTTTTAAAGTTTGAGATGCATTGTGAAATAGTAATTTCATACAGGAACAAATTAGCTAAGTCCAACTAAATAAAAACCAGTGAGCAATAATAAAAACTATGTTAAAAGGGGGTTTTCTGTTTTACTAAATATATATTATAAACAATAACGACTAAAGTATTCTCAAACGTACCACAAACATGCGACTATCTTGTGACATGTCCCAAGTGAATGGAAAAAGTAGTTGTTGACCTTATTTACGTCTTTATCTAGTTTTAGGCTTTGTATATACGTTCTAAAAGAAGAAGTGTAAAATCAAATAAAAAATGTGTTGACACATATAATGTTCTGTGATGATCCCATTCATTCTACCGTCATAATGTTTGTAATTATTGTTTCTTGTCCGGATGAAGACCTATCTAAACTTTTTTATCGGTGGAGAAACCAGAGATGGGAATAGTCAATTTCAATTTCGTATTTTTTGCGAATTTTCTATATATAGGGAAGCTATTATTGTAGGTCTCATCATAAGACCTAGACCCGGGACTGATTTACTTTTTCAGACACCAAAAACACAATCTTTTCAAATTCATATAATAAAGAGGGCGTCCTGCAAGGAAGTAATAACAAATTATGAATAGGTTTCAAGGGATCAAAATAAAACAAAAAAATATTTTTTTCTTTAAAATGCCTCGTTATTGACGTATCCACCGTTTTGTTTTATGTTTTAAATTTATATCTTAAAAACTAACTTAGACATCTTGGTAAAATTTGGTACACACTTTTATCTAGTAAAAAACTAGTCCAGAATAAAACATTATTAAATCTTTTAGTTATAAAATAACGGTCATTTTAATTTTAATACTTTAAATTACTAAATACAGGGTGATTGGTACTCAGTGTGTATAAGATCACCCTGTATAAGATATACTACTTTTCATAAGATGGCTCATCTAAGAAGACTTTTTGCATTTTAAATCTCCCATCAAACAACACCAAGTATAAAAACACGGAATTAAAATTAACTGGGAAATCATGATTTTTAGGCGAGATAAAACAACATGCAGCCAGGGTTCACCTGATTTTGCGCCAAAAATTGTGATTTCTCAGTTATTTATTATTTTATCTTTTTTACTTGGCGTCGTTCGATAAAGAAATTTAAACGCTTCATACCAGTGTACCTGGAACTTTTTTTGCTGCCATTTTTGGTACCAAGAAAATATTAGTATTGATTATGTTTTCTTAAATAGATTATGACTTGATAAAACTGCATATCAAATTTTATAAAGATATCCTCAATAGTTTTTTTTTAGCGAATTTCCCATATAGGGAATAAGCTATTACCATAGTACTCATGGTAAGAGCTGGACCCGGGACTGATTTAATTTTGCATTTTGAGGTCACTAGAGGCCAAAAGCACCATCCGTTCAAATTCATATATATATATATAATATTAGTAAGATGTGTGTGTCCGTTAGCGCGATAACTCGAGCAAAAATGATCCGATTTTGATTAAATTTGGTACAAACGTGTAAACCTACGTTTATTCGAACGAGTTCGAGATCCAGCGTAATCGGACCAATGTTTAATGTTATCGGGGTTTATGGGGGTTTTATGGGGTAAAAATGGGGTTTCCCATTTTTGACCCTAAAAACAAAAAAATTTGCAATTTCTTTTTAAACCGTTTTGTAGAGCTTAAAAAAGAAATAATTTAGTATATTGAAGCGCTGTTGTATGCCTTAACGGTCAAATTAAAAAATAGTGTCATTTAAAATACCCATGTTATTTTTATGGAGAAAATGAAAATTGTTGTAGTTTACTTGTTTATGGATATATATTGATAACATTTGGGAAATTTATTGATTTCATCCTATACTATTGACGTATGGTCAAAAAACACTTTTTACCTTCACCGTATCAGCAAACCTAAGCACTCGTTAAATTTAATGTTATTTAAATAGAGAATACATATGTCTTATTTATGGGAATATTTTAGTAAAAATGTAATCAGACAAGTTGAAATTCGCTTAGTCTGCAGGCTTGCTGTGGGGGGGGGGGTATTTTTTAGATATAAATATAAACAAAAAAAAAATGCGTATGTCTCGCTAACAAGGTATTTTTGGGGAATTGCATTCTAAATTTCAGTTAAATGTTGACTGATACAACCTGTTCCTAATTATTATTTTTTTTACTTATTTTGGGCTACGATCACCCTGCACAGTACACATATGTCCATAGCACGATAACTCGAGTAAAAATCATCCGATTGTGATGAAATGTAGTAAAAACATGTAAGTCTACATCTATTCAAACAAGTTCCCGAACCAGTATGATTGGACTATGAAAA